CACCGAAGCCGCACATCGACAGCTAAAGCCCCATAAGCATCGTTACGCCGCGTTACATGCCCCCCCCCCGCCCCGTACTGTCAAAATTACTGACACCTATGTACGCGAATGTGCCCACTGGAACTCCGTCTGTGTCGCGTACAGCGCGAACTACCAGTTTTCGACGTAAATTGGCCCCGTTAAGGATCAAAAAGGGCAATCATTCACCTTCTGATCTCAATTCTTTTATCTGTGTTTTGGACTCTCAATTCCAACTGAATTATTTCACTTAATGTTAATTTTTATCAAATTGGTAAATGGAAATCAACTTTCCTTTAAAGCATTTATACATATAATAAATATACTAATAATTCACTTAAGGATTAAACAGAATAATTCCAGATGATGTTTTCTTCTGTATACGCGTCACTCGTTAGGTAACTTGTTATTTAATTTATCGTTCTGTGTCTGTTAGGTATTTTTCAATGCTGAGTCTTGTTCTTATTTTAAACGCCTATTATACATTCTCTACTCGAGAGAAAACTGTGAATCTTTATGCAAGTATAGTACGTCAAAATGTGCAAAATATGTATATACAAAATAAATACAAGGAATAAGTAGAATATAATGCCACATATTTACCAAATATTAAATATATTTTATTTATTACAATTTACATTACAATATGCCTCTTTTCTGTTCGAATTAATTTGCATGCTGAAAAAATCTTAACGTTTAATATTTTCTTAAAATGTACATTTTTTGTTTCGACGTAGCTTCAATCTTTCCTTGGAATTTTTACCTCGCGATCGCCTGGTGTATTTTTCGAATTTTCACGAGTCTCTTTACACGTTACAAACGACAGAAATCACTGCTGCTTTTCTTCTTAGACTCTGCAAATCTACCAATACAGACGTCTACGCGTGCACAGTCGGCTGAAGTATACAGCGGACTTACATGTAAACGAGATTCCCCGTTCGAAGCTTTACGTATGGCGGGGATTACGATATTGTACTGCTGAGATACTCTGCTGGAACGCTTAGATAGCTCGCGTTCCCTTTGTCTGCTTGGTTTCTCCCTCTTTTGTGTTCGTACGTGCCACTCCTAGCTACTGCCTTTCCTTTCAACCCTCTCGATTTAGGTGCACCTTCAGCGTTTAGCTGTTCTTCTCGCCTTCGAACTTACGCGCCACTCGATTCTCGATCTTCCCCCGTCCCCGTGTTCGAATCAACAATTCTCGAGATTTTCTAACCCTTAGTCAATTTATATCTATTTCCTATGCAATTTTTATTTTCCACCTGTACATCGTTACATCGTACACTGGTTTGCAATCAAAGATTTGTAGTTTGTTCCATGATAGATCAAAGCTATTATTTTTCATTCATTTTCTTTCCTCGAAACGATCCGTTTTAACATTAATATTATTAATTTCTTTTACTCAAACATCGTGTTTAAATCAGTTACTTTATTTCTTGGCGTTCGAAGAAGTTTCTCAGCGTTTGCACTATTGTTTCTCTCCTCGTTCCTTTATATAATTGATTACAAGAAAAATACGATGCACGTAACGGTTGATTCTGTTATAAATTATTGAGATTCTCGAGACTTTTCGAACGTGTCTTTCCACGAACCGGCTCCTGGATCTCCCAAACGCCGGGAAACAAATAATCCCGGGGAAACACAATCGTTAATCGAGAGTTCGTTCGTGGCTGGTGATTCACCGACGGTCTGATGAAACCAGGAATGGTAAGTAGCTGTCGTCTAGTCGACGTGAATGTTAATACGGAAGAGCAAAGATCTTGTGGCTTTGCGGCCCGCCTGTGATCTTGAAACTGTGTTGAGGCTGTGTGTTGGAGGTGGTTTGCCAGCGACGCGTTCTCAGCCAGCGTAACTGTCGCACTGGGGTGCATCGTCGATTTAGTCCTCGAGGAGTGATTCATGAATATTATATTCGTTATGGATGACTCTGATAAGATGATAGGCTGGCACGGTGCACGAGGATGGGGCAGGAAGTTTACGAAATTGAGGGGATACCAAGCTTGGAAGATTTTTAACGCAATAGTTCCATTATGCAACTCGTTACAACTATAAATACAATTTTTCATCTTCATTGTGCAATCAGTCTTAAATTATCGAAAATGTCTTAAACTCGTGTCGATTTAGTTCTATTCTTTTCTAATTCTTTTGTTGTCATTGACAAAGTAGTAGCTTCTGTTGGTATTATTTAAAAATTTCTATTTAGTCAAATTGTAACATATGTCTTGCAAATCTGACGTTAAACTCGAATTTCATACAGTAACCAAAGTTTACATTTGTCATATGATTTTACAATAGTCGTATCATTTATATTGTCTGATTAAAATTTACCATTTATGTTCTTCGTTTTAAAAATATTTTCAAATTCGCGGTTGCAATAAAACACGTGCGCTTAATGCATGCCTATTAATTAGTTTTAGAAGCCTCTTGCTTGGAGAGCTTCAGCCAAGTTGTCTGGGTATATTCGTTACAAGGACGAAGCCCTCTATGGTTCATACGAGGTTAAATGTAACGGGGGAAAGAAAATCCCATATGTCGAGAAGTCCCACTGGGTAACCCCTGTTCCACATATATTAACTCCAGAATTGAAGGGGACTGAAGAGACAAGTCCTTGACAAGATTTTGATCTTCTTGATCCTTTCCATTGTACTTTCATGACCCTCTCACCAACGATTTATTCCTGCCATCTTTTTACGTATGCAACATATACAAATTAAGCAGACACCATAAATAAAATTAAAATAAAATTAATCCCTTAGAGCCCTCGTTTAAAACAGAAATATAATTCTTATAATATTTGCATGCAAATTACATACAAGATGGTTTAAACAAAGTAAAAAAATTCCAACTTGTGTCGATTATTAAAATAGCTCTTTTAACTCCATCGCATGGAGTAGGAATTGTTTAAGGATCCAAGCAATGGTATTAGTTTCCTAGATGGATTTAAAGCGAACTTGAAAATGGTACCTGACTAGCATCTGACAATGAGATATTAACCGTTCTATGGGTTTAGTCGAGTCACGTTGAAGTATTTATGCGCTAGGAGAAAAAAAATGAAGGCAAATGTATCTTGACTCTACATTAAAGCTGACGTTGACGTAGAGGCAAAAGGACGAGAGGGATGCAAAAAGATTCACTGAACGGAGCATTAGCGAAACAGCGCATTCTCGAAAAGAAGCCGCAACTGGAACACGGAAATTTAATACCAGCGTTAATTAAACATTTAAAAAAGCAATGAGACGGCTACAAGTGTTGATCTATCGTTCAGATTTTATGCGCTACGATTCGTTTCTACTTCATTTATTCTACTACACGAGAACTGGATTCCAATGAATTTCTATGTGACAGATAATGCCAGAAACCAGAATCCATTCCCTGGCTGGGCAGAAAGTTTCTTGAATTTTATTTCGGATACCTTAATAAACTAATTTAAACTTATACGTGATCGACGTTCATCTAACTTAATTAAAAGTTTAATTAGTCGATCCAACTCGAGGATCTTTTACTCCTTTTTATATTTCCATCTTGTTCAACGCCGTGCAATTTTTCGCTCACGCGTCATCGTAACTTGGTGGATGCCCAGAAGGAACAGGAATTCCCGTCAGCATTTCGATATGGAAACATAACGTTAAGTGTGTAGTGGTTAGACTGTAATTAATGAGATCGAGCCGTCGTGACGTAATTAGTAATTATTATAAAACGCTTGATTCTCATTTGAGCTGTAATTAAATGTTTTCAATAAATAAAAGTTTGTCATTGTGCATAATATTCAGGCTATTGAAACTAAAGTTTGTTATTAACTTTTATTCGCCTCAATAATTTTCAACGTATGAATGCTTTAATCAAAAATAATATAAATATGAAATATAATACATAAAAAATTAAAAACATATTACTGAATGAATTGCTTTAAAATTTGAACATTGTATAAAATCCACTATGGAATACTGTAGAGACTTTTCCAACATCTTCCACGTAAGAACACAAACTGAAAGACCAGATCAAAGGATTAAACAACTAAAATAGAATAAAACCAAGTGTAATGTAGCAAATATGTATAAATTTTTTGGATGAGATTTAAAATTATGCGAAAGAATTGAAAGAGTAACTTGTCTTTTCTATAGATGGTTCTGTCAATACACAATTGCCCCAGAATTTGAGAGCCACGGTAGAAAATATGCAAACGCGGCGATAATTGGTCCGCTGTCTGAATAGGGTGTAGTTACCTTAACCGTATATTGCACATAAAATAACCGTAAAATGAACCTAAGTGTAGTAAGGTAATTACCTTTTTCCTGGGTATTCTCCCTCGTAAACAACTCGCTTCCGACCTCGCAACACGTTCTTTTCCCTCTCGCGAAAAAGTATCTCTGAAATTATTCTCACCCCGAAACTCTTCATCGCATTCCTTCCACGGTTCATACATACGTAACGTACCGAGCAAACGTGGCGTCAGAATGTTTGTTCCAGAGCCCAGGGACCTCTTTCGGAGGTGGAACTATTGCGGGAAAGGCGGAAAAGTTTTCGCGAGACCGGCCAGGAACACGAAACTTTTGTCGTAGTCCCGCGCCACGACTTCTGCGAAGCGTCGCGATCGCGGTTTTCCGTTGTTCCTTTCGTTGTTGTTTTTTTTTATTCAAAATTTTTCTTCTTTTTTTCCGACGCGTGCTTTAGCGGAGCTTTCGGGAGCTTTTCGCGTAAAGTCGCTTGAAAATCAGCCGCAACCACTGGAATGCGACGCTTCGTAACGCCCGCGGTCTCTTCGGTTTCAACACCCCCTTTTTCCCCTCTTTCTATCCCTCTCTCTTTCTCTCCCTCTTGCCATCAGCAGCGTGGATTAAAGTATCGACGACACCCAGCCACGTCTGAATAATTCAGGACGAAAGTTTTAACCGCGAAAGCTCCGACGGGCTTCGACGCGAATCCCTGCTTGCGTGTTGTTAGCGAGACGCCGCTCGAAACCGATCGAAATACGCTTTGTGTTACAGGATTCGCGCTGATGAGGATCGTCGAGGTGTACAAGGAGATCCAGGAGCAGGAAATGAATATCGTGAGTACCATCCATGCAGCGAAATTGCGTATCAGAATTTTCTAAACGCGACACGTTCGCTCGTTCGAACGCCCAACGCGAATCGAATTTCTCCAGGGTTCGAGTCCTCGATTAACAATATATTATTTCGTATGGAAATTGGATTTCGCGTGGAACAGGAAACAATTTGGAGACACTTAATTTAGGGCTTAAATTTAATTAAAAAATGTCTGACACATCATGAATTGTTGATGTCGAGTTTCATAATCATGAGGCTTCTCTCTAGTTATCAAGTCTTACATATATTAAAATCAATACGTTTTTATATTTATGATGTATTCGTAAAACAAATCACAATCTTAAATAGTCTGCGTTTGAAGAATTATTTGGAATTAAATTAAAAATATATTATATAAACAATTTTATATGAAATCGAAGATGAATTAGAAACTAAAAACGATCTACTTCAAGAATAATACTTGATTATTATCATTTCTAATTGCCAAGAAAATATTCACGAGGACATCGAAATAAGTGAAATGGACGGTTCTGTTTTCCAAACGGTGCACAGACCACAGGATTAAGGGAAATATTTTCAATTTTTAATCGCATCACGCTACTCGATTCTTTGCAGAGTCGCTGTTACAGGGTCATACAAATCCTCCCACAGGCTACTCGTGCATTTCGAAGTATCCTCCGCGACCCTTGTAGATTTCCCCGAGATAAATTGCATCGAGTCGCGGGCGGCAACCCTTGAAAATCAAACCTGAATAGTTCATAAGAACGATTCGCAGGAGGGCGGACATTCGTAACGAGCTTAGGTGGCCAATACCAAGGATGGTGTCAAGGAGCACCAGGAATAAATCGTCCCTCGGGCGGCCCGCGGACTGTTCGCGTTCGAATTATTTAAATAAACGACCGCGGCCAACGCAATTAAAGGCGGGGGAGATTTATGCGGGGCGCGCGAGAAACCGAGATGCACGGGGCGGCGGATTCGGCACGGAAGTTTCAACCCCGACGGAATATTAATTGGAAAGTTAAAAGAGAGTTTTGGTCATTTATCCCCCCGCGTACCCTGTATCTCGTTCTCTTCTTCTCTAATCGCAAACTTCGTTCCTCCTTTGCGTCGTTCTCGTTACCGCTGGATCTTCGTATCTTTTTCTACCCGTCGTCCAGAAACACATGAAAATCTCTTTGATCCTCGCGCGACCCTCTGTTGCCTTAGGAGCGACATTACGCACTTGCGAACGTCTCTTTTGAGGGTGAAAATTCGTTCCAGACCGTACGGACGCGTTATTACGATTTCGTTCTGCGGACGGCCGCGATACCGAGTCCTGTGTTCCCAAAAATCTCATCTCCAGAATGTCTGCCGCGAACTTTGGATCACACGCGGCGGAATTTAAAGGATAGGTCAGATCGTCGCTACGTTCCAAGAAATATGACGGGTCAATCGAGTCATTTTACTCCGTGGATATTCTTTTTGAGCATCTCACATTGTTACTCTCAAAATTTCTTGATACTATCCAAATACCTTCATGTTTTCAAAGGTAAATATTGTTCACTCTCACAGATTTAATGGAGCTACGATTTGAGTTCAGGAATTCTTTAGATATTTTTATATTATCACTTTCATAATAGCTTAGTGCTATTCAAATGCATCGTAATGTGAAATATTAATAATTTAGAAATCTCCATGTTCCCAAAGACGTAATGTCATTGCATCCCGCGACGTAACAGTTTCCATTTTCTGGTTAACAACGCCAAGCGGGATCGTAACAATGCGCGTCGCGAGGATCGTGCCTTCGGCCTGTTTATCCTCGCGTAGCTTTCGCGTTTTGCCCGGCGTACCGCCCACGCCCGTCGAAATATATTCCCGTCGCGTGATCCTGTTCTCCTTTATGGAGAATATTCCCAACAATGATCCCCGTGGCCGTTATGAGCGATCCTCCGGTGCACCCGGAGTCGTCGCCGGCATCGTTTTCCGGGGAACGTTAAAGTTTCGAAGATTGAGCCCCTTTGATCCCCCGTAGCCCGCGCGGCGGGGGCGCGTCTTTCGAAGCGAACGAAGAACAATGTTTCCGGCAATAACGGAGGGCCGTTATTGCCCGAGTGTTCTCGCGGAATTGCGGCCACCGTATCGAGTAAACCCATACTTTGCCCGACGACCGCCCGCAGACGTGGAAACCGCTCCGCTGGGAACGCGGATCGACCATTCTCGGATTCGACCGAACTAATTGTTTCTTACGTGACCGTGGTCGATAACTTCCGCCACTGACACCTAGGAAGTAATTTGTTGCTTCGTCGACCGACGTTTTACAGCTCCTGGAAGCCACGGTTCACGGAGACCCTCGGATATCGAATGGTTTACTCTTTGCCTCTGTGCCTCTTCGTGTTCGAAAACTGCGATCTAGAAAAATTGTATTTCGCTTTAAAAGTGCATAAATCCTTCGAAACAAGCTTACGAACGATCATTGACACTGTTAACATTAATTCTGCTTGATAATTATTTAATGAAAGAAAAAAACGAAATACATTTATTATGAAAGTTTCACTGCTGAAATAATAGAAAATAGGGACAATGAGAATAAGATTCGTCGACTTTGAAGATACGTTATTAAAAAAGTAGCAAATAGTATATTAGAAAAACACGTGTCTTTCCAGCTTGAGTTGTCCAGTCGAATCGAGGGACGAATTTTTTTGTACGACTATACTAAATTTAGGCGAGCGTCAAGAATTTAAATTTCTTTCGCTCTTACGGATTCACGATGGTTGAACAAAGCTCGTGCAGATAATTCGCCCTGGTCGGAATAATTGGAAACTTTCTTCTCTGTGCGTCGCGAACGCTTTCCTTTCGGTTCATGTTTTCTGTTTACGGTTTCCACGCACGTCTCCCAACTTGTGTTCCCTTTTCTCTGCACTTCTCGCGGGGTCCCTCGGCCTCGAGACTGTTTCCACCGCGCCTCGTATATTATAGGAAACGCATATCCGAAGCCATTCACGCACTAAAGGTCGTTGTCTCGGTCCGACGCGCACACGTCGTTTCGCTATCTCCCTTTACCCTCTGGTTTCCTCGCGTTTCGCCTTCTTTTTCATCCCCCATTCCCGTAGATTACGTCAGACGTTGGTCTCGTCTGGCAACATTCGTAAAGATGTCCTTTCGCGCTACCCTAGCCTCGCACCTCCTTCGCCAAGCCTAATCGCGTGGAAATATACAGTGGAGGAACAATTTGGTCCAGTCGTTGAATCAGTTTTATGGGTTTAAAGACGAACGACAAGGGGGGCGCTGGAAGTAACGAGATTAGGGTTGCGGTCGCCGAGAGTTATCAGAATCGATTGCTTCCACGAAGTCGTCGACACACGTATGGAAAATCTGGTGATCGAGTACGCCGATACAAATATTTATTCTACCATAGCAATCGTAATAAATTCGTTTTTATTTGTATTTGTTTTTCTTTTTACACGGTACGTAAAAAAATCTAGAAACAGCGACTGCTGGACTTTGAACTGCCGTGTGTATGTATTTAACAAATTGTAAAAAAAGGTATCACGTAGGGGTTGGTTACAGAAAGCCTTTCTGCGCGAAAAATTGTCGGCTGGTGTTGTAAAAAATACATAAAAGGCCAGGGTATTCGAAAAATGTCGAAATAACAGGCCAAAAGTGACCTACTGCGTACAGATTGGTCGAATTTTGAAACATAGACCCGAATACTGTTGACAAGTAAATAGGAACCTTCAAATATGGTGTTTGATCGAATCAGAAAACAAAAAAAAATATTTTCTAGGATTGTAAACGTAAATAATTTTTGCCAGAATATTTAAACTTGAAAGTCAGATTTTTTAAAAGTCTAAGTTAATACCGAAGTCTAATGTATTCTCAAACATTTTTTTATTTCGTTTTAATCAATTTTAAAGAAGTTAACTCTGCACCGATTGGAAAATCATCGATAGCTTCGAACGTTTAATTTTTCGTCTACTCTTGGACGTTCAGGGTGTTTTTTATCGTCAATATCTACCCCCGCTGCGCTCGACCAGCCGTCTAAGATAAACGACGCCGTTCCCTTCCTCTTGGTCGACGGGACTAATTCAATTTAGAAGGGTAATACCTGGAAAGCTTCAGACGCATTATCGCATTTTTCTTCGCGACTAAAAATCGACTACGATGTAAGACGATCGAGCAAGCGGTGGCTGAAACAAGAACACCAGGGGCTGGGAATGGAAGGAGGTCAAATTGGCTCTCAGTCTTCAAGGCCACGGGCAGATAGCTATTACGTCTGTAATGAGAAAAAATCCTTTTGAATATTTCTCGACCGAAATATCCCTTTACTCGAACAGCTTTAGTAAAACTATCTATTATTACACGTATGAACTTCGTGGTTGTTAACTAACGATACGATCATATTAATCTGATACAGATTTTTCTAAATTTTTTGTCGAATACGAATATTTAGTCCCTAAACCCTTTCCTTGATTTTAAGAATGCATGGAAAATTCCCAATTCGGTTAAATTAATTTTTATTTTTTATTTTACGAATTATATCACTATTCGAATAATAAATAAATCGATCGGATGGTTGAGCATTTCGGATAACGGAGATTCCGCGATAAAAGTTTCTTTTAATAACTTTCAATTTCGAAAGGTTCTACTCGTTATCGTTGCTACTACGAGCGCATGCGATCGTGTAATTCATAAAAACATAATATTACCAATTGGCCGATGCGAGAGACGATAGGAGGAACAGCCAATTATTCGATTTCACGAATTTTCAGCGGAATATTCGTTCTCGTTAGTTTCATTAGCTTCCGTGGCGGAGAGAACGAAAAAAACAGTTGATGAAACGTCTGGTGTCGCTTGGACCATTTTTGTTGCCTCTTCATTGTTAGAAAAAAGTACCCGTCGTCGATTGATCGGGTGTTGCCGGGTCGAATGGCCCCGTTTGTTTCTCCGGGGAGCGTTGCGAGAGGGAAACTTTTGAGTTATGGTCCCTGTGACGTGTAATTCGTAGCCGCGATCACTGGCGTGG